AAATCATTTATTTTTGTATAATCAACCCTTTAATGTGGGTACTGCACCTTTAATGAAGGTTTACATGTTTTGTTTTCAATATTCTTTTCATTGTGCTCATATTTTGATTATCATCTCTATTCATTAATGAAACTGAAAAAATAATTGTGACATTATTGCTGTTCATAGCATCTTTGTCTTAATCTCATTTCTATTAAATTATGACAAAAGAAGAGAGAAGAATAAAATTACAAAAAAATGCTTTAATGAAACCTACCTTCTGTGATCTTAAAATTTTAATGATGGATTGAGAAATCTTTGTCAATATATTTTGTTGTCTCACATAGGCTGTTGGCAGTAACTGGGCTAAGTAGTTTGAATTGTAGGTTAACTGTTGGCCATTTCCAATCTCATTTTCACTTGCATAAAGACTAAATAAGAAGCAAAGTGGTTTAAAATACTCAGTTCTTGAGAAAATGTGGTAGAGAATATATTATTGTAAGTAATTTGAAATCTGTTAATATCAGAACATAACTTAAAGCCATCTGCACTCACAGTGTCTGTTCTCCGTTGGGTTTTGAGTATTAAAGCATCACTAAAATGCAGAATATAAGAAAATGGGGGATCTGGGATGCTCCCTATATCAGTAATATTAAGTAAATTTAAGGAAAAGTTGCACTTTAAATGGTGTAAATGCTTAATGTGAATTTTTGATTTGTAGTGACTTCGTTACAGCTGAAGGAGGAATTGCTGGATGGAGAGGAGTACAGCTTCCTGCAGGGAACATCTGACCAGGAAAGCAATGGCTCTGCCAGCTACTACATCAAACAGGAACCCTGAGGCAGCTCCCAGGAGTGAGGGGCACAGCATTGGTGACAGGAAAAGAACCTTTCTCCAAGACTGACTGATTCTGTTCCCACTTGGATGGTGCAGTTCAGGTGACTGTGCCTGGGGTGCTTTGCTAAATGTAGATGAATTAGACTCAGTTCAGAATTTTTTGGAAGGGTGGGGAAACTATTTTAGTGAAAAAGATTTTTCAATTTATTAAAAACAAAAACAAAGGACACTTTTGTGTTGTATTTGAAGCTTTTGAAAGAATTTTGTAATATTTTCAAGTTCAGATTTATTGTGCATTGTTAACAAGAACTGAAATTCTAATTTTTTGGTAAGATTAAAGTTTATTTAGCATGATTGTGGGAAGCAGTTGGAGGAAGATATAGTTGCAAATACAACTATGAACTGTCATAACAAATGAACCTTTTTGGTACAAGTTGGGAGACTTTTAGACTCTTGTGAACTGCACTGGTCACGCCTCTGTTTTTTTTAATTGTGAAAATAAGGCTTTAAAGCCCTGATTTATAGACATAAATTATATGTGGAAGACAGTCCTGTAAAGCTCTACTCAGTGAGTAGCCCCAAGTGCAACGGAGCCATCGCCTGAGGAAGATTTTAACTTTTCAAGGTGTTTTTATTTAGTTTAAAATATCCTTTTTTATATAAGGTCTTGTTTTTTAACGTTCCTTAGTGTCTGATTCAGTGCCCATTAATATCAGTAGCTTTGTCTCCGTTGACCGCAGTGGGCATTGGATTTGATCTACAAAGTTCTTGTCTGTATATGAAGTCTGTAGTCTTGGAATGCTTCAGTAAATGTTTACAGAGCCCTATGCCAAACTGGAATTTGAGAAAATTCTCTCATTGGAAGATTAGTTGTAGCTCTGAATTTTGACTGAAGAAGCAGCTTAGATAGACAGTCACTAAGGACTCCCTTGGTAGTGGGAAGGAACTTGTGAGTATTCTAGTGTTTTTGTTTTATTTTTTTTTTTCCATTCAGAAAGCCCTAAATGTTTCCTTACCATCTTAAATATTAATCTGTGACCATTCAGAACTGATGTGCTACATGGTTTCAGGTGAGCTGAAAGGAGCCCTACATTGTGGATTAAAAAATAGTTCAGTCCTGCATAACCTGAAATATTCATGTCTTGCTGCTATAGTGTAACATAGGAGTTGAGACTTGAGAACAGTATCAAAATCATATGGTTTTTTAGTCTATAATTCATAAACTGCATTTGCCTGTTGCCTGGAATTCTTGTCTCATGTTAAGCATCACATTAGTCCCACCTGGTCAGCTTCCAGATTTTTACAAGGCTAAAGTTACATAAAAGGGTGAAAATTATGACCGCTTAAACACAAAGTATTTTTGCTCTTAATAATCTTAAGGAGCTCTTAATAATTTAGATTTTGTGTTTCCATATTTTTAACCTTCATACATTTTTGTAAATGGAGTTGATGAATGAGGTGGTTGATCAGCCCTGCAGAGCTGTGACTGGAAGAATGTGCATCAAGAGCTTTAGCTTTTACCAGTAAGGTTCATTAACTAAACTCTCAGGAATTATCTCATAAGTTCTATAAGTGCTTCTGGGTCTTCACAGGTCCCCTTCAGAGCAGTACAATGATCATCTAACTCTTGACCATAAATTAGGGCTTAAAAAAAATTGATCAAAAATTATTAACATCTGTATTCCTACAGCCTAAGAAATGCTTTAAGGATATCAACCCACACAGCCCCAGGAGACCATTTTTGTATATTGTTGTTTGAGCTTAAAAAAAAAGTGCATAGAAAGTTGAAAACCAGCAATTTGATTATTTTCTAAAATATTGCTCCAACTTTGGGTACATAGTATTGATGATATGCACAGGTTTACCTCATTCTATGCAAGAGGGGTTAATTATGTAAAGTTTTGTATTTACTACTGGAAGTAAAACATGTCCTGTATAGTGTAGGAATGTCTGGAATTCTTTTCTCCCTTACTGGTAAAATTTCTTAAATAACGACCTGTTTTTAACAACAGTTTCTTCTATTTACGGAATCTGTTAATCTGATTACAAGAATCTTTAACTTCAGGTGGTAAAGACATTTTAGCTCTCTAAAACAGCCATAAAAAGGGCTTTGTTGGACCTGGTAGACTTCAAATACCTTATCTCAGATTCTGACCCATCCATGATGTTTATTTTGAGCAGCCTAGATTGGAGAACTGGGATTAGAGACCTTTGTAGTGACACTTTGAGCCTTGATTGTTTTACTGTGTTCTCAATTTAATCTGCTTTAAAATACAGCAAGACAAGCATTGATTTCATTTGGTAAGTATAGCACTATTGAATTTTTTATTTTTTTTTTTTTTAATGCAACATCTTGCAGATTGTCCCATCAGCTGGAACAAGGTTCTCACAGTCTTACTTTTCTTCTCTCATCAACAGCTTCTGACTTGAGTAGAAAAACTGTTGCATTAATTAGTGTGTAATAATGTCTAAATAATGTAGAAGGTCATGCTAGTGAATGAGTGAGGTGCATTGCCAGGTCACTAAATTGAGTATTGCCCAGTATTGCCTAGGCTCATCCCTGATTTCAGAGTTGGTCTTCAAATGTCAAGAGGGAAAATTAGTCCTTAACATGCTTCCTGTGTTGGGAGAAATGTAAGAATCTGTTCTAAAGTCTGTCAGTCTTTATATTATTTTATTCATCAAACACTAAAGTCTGTGAGGTGATGTATGTTCTCGGCTACCTGTGTGACTTCAGCAGTTGGTGAAATGTCTTTTGTGTCTCTGAGTTCAAAATATGCTTCAGTTGTGTAATTGTCAAGTACGGTGACACCTGTGCTAAGCAAACCATGGAAAGAGCAGCTGGAAGTCACTGAGGAGAGGCTCAGCAAGGTGGTACCAGGGATGTGATCCCCAGAGAGCCCGTGGGGTGTCCCTCTGGCAGCTCCCTGGCTTTGCAAAGCATTCCCACGGCTCTGGGATGTTTCTCTTGGCTTTCAAGCCATGCTCCCTGGCTGAGAGAGCAGCAAATGTTGGACACCTGAAACCTTCAATGGGGTCGGACTAATTTTGGCATTTGGCACAGCAGGTTTTTCTGACCATGAGGCAGCCTAAGCCCAGTCCCTGACTTGGCTGCTGCCCCTCTTTTATTCTTCCAGATCTCTCTGCTGATCTTTCATTATTATTTTCAGAACTCTCTAACCTGTTCCTTGCTGCATCTGAGGAAAGCTACAGCAGTTATTGATTCCTTGTTCTACAGATACTAACACGGGTTTCAGTGTTTGTTTTGGTTTTTTTATTGTTTTCTGTGATGTGAATACCCTCCCTCAATCTTTGTACAATGGTGCTAATATATTTGGTAACAATCCTTTATTGGGAGGGGATTTTAAAAAACTGTGATTTCAGCTGAATTTTTCTTCCTTTTGATTTTTTTTCATATTTAAAATGAAAAGCCACAGCCATTTATACAAAAAAAAAGGCCCCTGGGAAAATGTTGGGGCGGGAATCAAGATTAAACAAATGGGTTTTTACATCATTTCTGTATGTATTTGATATATAGATCAATACCTGTATAAATTTAATCTTTTATTTTCTTGGTAATTTGTGTGGTCAGTGAGAGAGTATTTAAAGCTTTCTCATGCAATGTACATAACTCAGTGAAAAAATGCTTTTGGAGAAATTAATGTTACTTTCATTTTTACGAGACTGCAGATTTTCAGCATGGATGTGAAAAGCATTAAAATTATAACTTTGTGTACAAGATGAAAATAATTCACTAAATTTGCCTTTTTTACACAAAATAAAAATGATTAAAAGTCTTTTTCTGAATAGTGATTGTTTTGTTTAAAAGTAACTCAGCCCTATTAAAAATACCCACAATCTCTAAAAACATGAGTATTTTAAGTATGTTGGTGTGACAACAAACCTTGAGGCCTTGGACACAAGGCAAGGGGTTTGATAAGACAAGGTGTATTAGATAAGCATGTCAGAGAGCAAGCTTTGCATTGTCTAATTTCATTTAGTATTAATATTTGTGTAAGGAGGGAAATTTTGTGGTATATCTTTTTCCCTCTAACTGTGTTAGAAGTAGCTCCATCCTCCCTTCAGCTCTCCCTCTGCAAATTTGGAGTCCAGCAGCTGTGCCAGGGTCATGTGTCAGTGGCTCCCAAATGACTAAAATTACTTGGAGTATTTGAACCAAGGAATTAGTTCACACCCATTTATTTGACAGTCAGTTTTAGCAATAAGATAACTGTGTTTGCTCCCAGGGCAGCAGCTGGAATGAGATGAGGTGTTAGAAGGCACAAATCCCTGTGGGAACCCATCACTCATAGATCCAGTCATGTGCACAGGGCTTGAAGTCGATGAGCTCTGTGGGTTTGAACCACAGGTTGATCTCTTTCTGTGCACTCTCCACTGAGTCGCTGCCATGGATGATGTTCCTGTGGAAGGAGACAAACATTGTTCCCTATAAAAATACACTTTCAGCAGCTGTGTTCTCAATTTGCAAAAATTTGGATGAAGCATCTAGAGTGGGGAGACTACTGCTGTTATTTTAGGTAGAGTGTTCTAACACCCCCACCCCTCCCAAAGAGCTAATTATGCCTATCAGAGTCACTCTAGAGCTACTGTTCTACATCAGCCCCTGCCTGAGCTTACATGCTGCTCTGGGGAGGAGCTGGAGTGCAAATAAATCAGCTTTGTACCACTTTCCTAAGCAGAAGCTATGCACTGTGACCTGCAAACAGAGACACCATCAGACTTAAGGTCTCTACCACCAATTCTGGCCTTCTAGAATAAAAGACTGTCACTTTTATTTTATAAACTTTTTTTTAGTTTTTGTGTTGGCAAATAAACAATGAGTAGGAGTTGTTGAGTTTTAGTATTAATTAACAGATTGAGCACAAACCTTCCCACTTGAATGCAGAAGTCACCACGGATGGTGCCAGGCTTGGAGTCTGCAGGATTGGTTTCCCCCAGCATTACTCTCCCAGTTTTAACCACGTTGAGTCCTTCCCATACCTTAAGGTAAAAAACACAAAAATTCTGATAAGCCTGTGCTTATGCAAAATACTGAGAAGTCATCTTTGCCCTACCATACTTTGCAAAGAAACAAAGGCTCTACCATGAAAAATATCAACCTTGCCTAGATTCTCTCTCTCTTAGGCCTGCAAAGGTGACAAGTGGAAAAAACATCTGAACTGAAAGTAATTGTAAAAAGGACTATCAACATTGTTACTGCAATGAAGGAGATACTTTCCCAAGCCTCACAGTTAATATACAAAGCCAATTCCCAGCCCTTGGTGTTTTGGTGGAACAGAGACAGCCTGCTGAGTGTCCTCTCCTAGTTCATCATCACAGCAGTAGATGCTATTAGAGCAAGTATTTTGTTTTGTGGGGATTCTAAGAATGAATGACACAGAAGTCGGATTCTTGTGTCAGAGAGCCTGACCTTTTTTTGCCCAAAACAGAGATTTTGGTTCAGAAGACTTGCTTTCGGGAATTTTGCTTTATACATTTATGTATTAGGCATTTTAATCCCCATTTTATATGTGCACTTTTCTTATTATATAGTAATTTCACTGTTTTAATTTTTTCTTTTGCTACATCAGAACTAGGTAGTTTGAAAAAAATGTTTCTGCAATACTATCTCTGAATAGCTTCAATAATTTACAGAGCAAGACAAATATATTCAAGAAAGTAAACTAAAATTAAGCCACTTACCATGGCCACAATAGGTCCAGATTTCATGTATTTAACCAAACCAGGGAAGAAGGGGCGGTCTTTCAGGTCAATGTAATGTTGTTTGAGAAGTTCTTCAGAGGCCTTTAAAAGGGCAAATTTAAATAAAATTTTCTGAATATCATCGAACAAAAGGTGTTACTGGTGTAAGACTATGGCGTTAGTAATTAGATCCAGTAATAATTAATATTACCAACAATGCTGCAGTACTATTATGGGTATCAGTGGGAGCTCCACATTAAAGGAGTTCTTTCTGGCAGTGCTGGGAATTGTAAAAATGAGTTTTTTGCACTGCAGTTATCTTCAGCGATAAGCAGAGTACGGCATCCCGAGGTGATGTTACCCCATGCAACCTTTCAGTCAAGGCCATTCCAGCTCAGTTGGGCTGCATTAAATCTCTGGAGCAAAATTCGGTTTTTTGTTAAGGGGGAAAGCCATGTGCCGGGCAGGAAGCCGGGCCTGACGAATGCTCCAGCACATCCGCCATCAGATCCACATTTTGCCGCAGGAGAGGCCGCAAGGGGAGATTCTCCGTGTGGGTGTGGTGAGTCCCCCGCGGGCAGGGCAGGGACGGGGTCTGGGGGCAAGGCAGGGACGGGGTTTGGGGGCAAGGTGCGGGCACTCACTTGCACGAACTTCATGCCCACGAGCCGGAACCCTTTCTGCTCGAAGCGCTTGACGATCTCCCCGACCAGCCCGCGCTGGACGCCGTCGGGCTTGATGGCGATGAAGGTG